TAAAAATCTAAACAATTATTCATGTATGAAGTTTCCTTCAAGAATATTGGTGGGAGTACCCTAAAAAGTTTTGTAAAACGGAATTAAATTCAATGTTAATATGAATGGCAACTACTTATTCATTTGAAAAACTACAAAACTGATAACATCAGAGCAAAAATATTTAGATCAATTCGATCAATATGAATAATTACTTGATTAACTATAATTAAGAACCCAATGGAATTTACTCGACTGGAAACTCTCAATTTTCGGACAATTATGAATCATTAGTCGGGGTCATATGCAGGTGAAGATTTTCTGCAAATCGATATCAATAAAAAAAATCCATTCAACCGAATCATTGAATCAAAAAGATTGATCGGAAAGAATGGAGAATCAGCCGTTGAAACAACCGAAACCATCGAGCTTGATAAAAATGGATAATAGATAGAAAAAGCTTATAGGACATCAAACCGATAGAAAAATTCAGTTAATGTTATCTACTGAATTGTGTGGAACCTTTCTTTTCGATCCTCGTATTAAATACTGAACTCAACTGTAAATATTGTTGGTTCAATAAAATATAATCATATGCAGTCGTAAGAACCCAACGTGTTTGCTAACACAAGTAGAGTATTCGGTTGTCTAGTTATCCAACTCAAATCTCAATGGATGGAACACGCCACATCGTCTGTTGAAAATCAACAGCCCTATCTGCTTGCATTCGATTTAATTATTATGTTTACCAGAATTTTATCAGAAGTTAAATCAATTTTTAGGGATTTTCATTTTATATTTATTTAAAATGAAAGATTTAGTAATGCATTTTGGTTGGTTTTGTTGTGCAAATTAATTGTTAAAGGTCATAATCTTAAAAAAGTGTCTCGAGTATTGGAATTTAATACTGCTCATGAGAATCAGTACGATATTATATGAAGCATTCCTCGCCAAAATCACCACTTTTGAACTCGACCCCTTTCGATGTAGCCAAAAATTTTGTTTTTTTTTTCTACCCCATGAGAAACATTTCCCAGAATTTTTCGAATTTTTTGAAAAATGTCTGTTTCACACAGATTACAAGATATCCTTGCAAAGAACGTATCCTATACTCCTACTACGAATGGAGTTTAAAAATTTTCTAAAACCGAACAAAATCAGAAGGAACTATTTTCTATAGTTAATCCATGTTTTTTCTGTTCTTTCTCAGAGCCACATAGTTTGTCATACATATCTTTAAATTTTCTTACTAAAAAAGTGAAGCTCCCGTTTTGGTTTTTTTGTATAAAATAATTGCAGATAAATCCATCTGTTATTCGAAAAAATTGAAAATTATTACGTCAACTTGGGATACATTAATTTATACTACTCTACAGAGAAAAAAAAATTGTTCTACTAGATTCGTTTAGTTCTACACTGAAAATTTACTTGGGAAAATCAATGATTTTTGTCGTTGCAATAAATATACTTGGACCATCTATCTCCTTGGAATTTCTGCATGAAATGCTCATTTACATTCTCGCGTCAAATAAATTTGTGTTGCATTACCAAATTAAAATGGCAGAACTATTTTTTACAGCGTGAAAATAATGTGTTTAGATACTTTACTCTTTTACTACATTTTCGGTATTAAGTTTTTTCCAGTCTTCTAATTCATAAATTATTAATTAATTAAGAGACGTGACATTTCGAACATGTTTTTGGAACTATTCAAGACAATTTTTCAAAATTTCAAGTACATTTTCCAAATATTCTTCATCGAACATTTAATTTCTCAAAAGATGAGTCCTCAATGATTCCAGTGGAATAATGAGAAATCGAGAATCACTTTAAGGGGAGACCGCGATGAAATTTGAAAGTCCTGGGGTATAGTAGCAACGATCGTGAAATAAGGCCTAAATTCAAAGCTCACCTCGGTCTCTCCTTCTCTAACGCATGAATATAGAATCCAAGTAGATTAAAAAAAAATCCAACACGATTCATTGTAACACTTTGGATCAATCACTTTTCGCGACACTCATAAAGATTGCGTACACAGAGCAAAAAGAGTCATCCCTTGGTACTTTTACCACTTTTCCCGTATGTTATTTTGTTTTCTTTAAAAAATGAGATTCAATTTCTTCAGACTCGTTCACCGTTTGACTGTCAAACTTGAATTATACTAAACTAAACTTGTCCACACATGTATACCCTTTCGGGCTTTTACATTTCCCACCCCCAGTTCCCCCTGTACCGCAATTACGCCGAGGGCCGAAGGGAAAACCTCATGGGAAAAAACCTTGGCCAGGTACAGTCGTCCCTTTCGAGACTACCGCTCGTACGATGAAAACCTGTGCAAGTTAGAGCGAATTCTATCTCTAAAAAACCCCTGGCATTTCCCCGACTAGGAATCGAACCCACGAATCTCATGTGCCAACCCCCTACACTCTAACCGCACGGCCACCGCACTTCGGTCACTTTTCCCGTATATTGTTGACTCTTATACGTGGTTCATATTTCTTTGTTTTATATCTAGACCCCGTTTTTTTAAATCCTGACCCTGGACAATAATTATGACATGATAACTATACGATCGGTATATAGCTTTCACACGAGAAGGTTTTATAGATCTTAAATAATCTTCATTTGATGTCTAAATGATTAGCGTGCCCCATTTTTCAAACTAACGGTTATGTCTTGCATCCCCTACGGCATATTCGTGAACAGATCTTCAGAGATTCACGATCTTAATTAACTTGGGCCATATTGGGCGCTTCGTAAGACAAATAAACCCACTCTCTACAAGATTATCACTCAATTAATGAATGCACATTTCTGACTAAATTTCGTTTTTCTCTCAGTGTATTGTTTGACATCTCATTTCAATCAGATGCTTTGAAATTTTTTCCGTTGAAACCTAACCATGTACACGCAATGCAGCTTCGTGGATCTTCTGTCCTGAGGGATTTGTAGCAACACAAGCATATATTCCAGAGTGTTGTGGTGTCACCGGTTCAATTAGTAGGATACTAGTGCGTGGACCCGGTTTTTCGATGCTGTGCGGCAACGCTGGGGATAATGGTTTTCCATCTAGTGTCCATTTTAAGTCAATCGGTCTATCACCGACTAATACCATACAGGCGAGTTGAGCTGCCTGGCCGGAATAGATTGTTTCATCCCCAAAGTCAAATGGAGTGATGCGAGGTAGGACTGCGAAATTTTAATATAAAAATGCAAAAGCACTACTATGGTATTTTTTGTCATTCATGCCCGTTAAGTGGCGTCTTCGGGGTGTTCTCGCTGATCGGTAGATAGCTATTACAGATCATAACCTGAAAAATTCGACGGAGACGTGAAGTCAGTTGCTAACTAGCCCACAGAGGTTAGCCCTGCGGTTTCCGTTGAAAGGGTTACGTCAAAATAATGTCAAATACTCAGTCATTTTGTGAAGTTATTTAGTTACGCCATTAACTAATTTAAGACTCAATAAAAATAGTCATTGATGTCATAAGGCCTGAAACGTATTTTTCTAGCGAATCCTTTATCATAAAAGTGATCGGGAATTAATGATTGTTGTGATTGTCAACTTTTTGTTCGTCTTCTGATTAGCTGATGGGCCGATTGATTGTTATAATATTATAGTCATTGATGTTATAAGGCCCAACTAACCTAGTTCTAGTAGACCTAGGCCTGCAAGTACCACTTATCGGGCTGAGGCCTGAAAAGAACGAAGCTAAATCGGGTCAAGTTACCAAAAAAGCTTCCTAGTGGAAGCAGGGAGTAGTTGACATTCGGCAATAGTTCGTTCTATATTCTCTGTTCATTAGAAAAAAAATTGACAAAAAAATATGCAATCAATGTTGTTTACTTATAGTCAATTTTCCAATATTTTGTTTGTGGTCTTTTCTTCAGAGGGGGGTCTCATGCCCTTTCCTCCGCCCTACCTCGTCCATTGCACGGACATTTATAACAAAAAATAGCCTGTGCCACACGGCCCGGTAGTGTCGATTTGAAATTCGTATGACTTTGCAAGATTCGGCGTGGTGGGCAGAGGACGAGGCTTGCCGCGCGACAACTTCACGCTGATCACAAACCTTTGCTTACGGGCCTTGCGACACAAATTACTATTATTTCTTTCTAGCACGAGCTCGACATTTCTTTTCAGACGAAGGATGGGAACAATTGGCGGGGAATGTAGCATTGGAAAACGTATTATTACAACGTGTAGTTTACAAAACCATTGCGTTCAAGGGTAGTAATCACTCTTTTCGAATTTACGTTAAAAATCCATACAGGGTTGGAGGATGTTCATTAAAATCGTCCCTACTCTTTCCAGTATCCCAACGGCTAGAGGAATACATACAAAACATTGAGCTTGAGATACATGTAGCAACCGAAAGTAATGCAATACATGATTCTGTAGTAAAATGGCAAGAGAGAACCCGTACAAACATTTTGTAGATATCGTTTTTAATTAAACGTATTAAAAATGAGAAATTTTTCATTGTAGATCACTTCTCTTTACAATAAAATCGCTCTCTTCATTAATTTCTCCAGATCACAATGATTCATTCCGTAATTTTGAAGCGAATCTACTCATCCATTTGGAACTTATATCGTTGTCAGCGAGGGGCTAATAACTCCGCGATCGAGTGGCACCATAACTATAGGGTCCTTTCAATTCCATCCAAAAAGATAAACGATTTAACTGACATCATTATTTCAGTGACCCTATTCAAATAAAAATCACGACAATAGATAACATACCAACAAATATTCGTTCATTACTCCATCTTTAGTTGAAACTCAAACAAACATTGGCTTCTCAACTTATTATAATTGTCCACATCTAAGTAATCATTAAATCCTCAGATACTGGCCCTTTTTGATTAAACATGTTTTATTAAACTGTGTATATAATCATAGCAAAAAAATTATTATATCATAGCCAGTGGATGTTTTGCCACCCTGGACGCTACTATAGTCTTAAGATATATGCTAAAAACTTTTCAAACTCAAATGAACACAGAATTGGTAAAAAATTTAAACGTCAGAGACAAAATTAATAAATAATTTGCTGCATTATTTTTTAATTCTTTCAATTTTAAGTGTAAAAAACAGTAATCTTAGTCATTATAATTGTAGATGGAGTAGTTTGGCAGGAGTAATGACTATTTTTTTTAATTCGTAACTTTTTTTGGGTTGGGTAAACAAATTTGAAAAAATTGGGAAATCCGGTTGAAAAGCGGTCGATTTGGCATGGAACACCCCATATATATATCTTGATTTCTTTTCATTGATTTCATTGACTGCAAAAAAATTGTTGGTAGCTCTCTAAAGCAACTGGATGACTCAAAAGAATAAAATTGAGATCAGTTGGCAGATGACTCTTTCAGAAGTTAAGAGTCCCTCGCTTCTCATACATTCTGATTTGCTTTTATAAATTCACTACTCAACCGTGCCAGTCTTCATGATTATAATCTATCTACAATAAAGCACTGTAACAATACCGAAGATTAAGAGTCAATTTGTTTCAAGAGGGATTGAAAACTTAGCACAAAGTACCATTAACTTTGAGATGTGCACTATGTCTTGCCCGACCGGCTGGATTATCGGCAATACACGCATACTCTCCAGCATGTTCTCCACTAACAGATGGTATCGTCAACGCCGACACTCGATCACCAATTGACGTAATCTTAACATCATCATTGACCTCTAAATGACGTCCGTCAAATAACCATTTCAATGAAATTGGAGTATCTCCCTTCATTACTGCACACTGAACGATAACGAGGTCGCCGGAATTGGTCTCATCGAAAGAAAAAGGCTGGAGATGTGGTGCAACTGTAGAGAATCATTCGTTTGCAAATTTCTTGCGATTTCAATCAGGAGAAAATATGTTAGACGGTCTCAGAATCCATTGGGATATAAAAAAAATAAAGAATCACTAAATTACAATAATGAATGCAATAAAGAAAAAACAATACTCATAATAAGCATCAGATTGAAATTGAAAAACATTTGGTTGGCGTGGTCTTCATAAAAAATTTATCATAAGTATTGAAATAAATTAGACGATAAAGCGTGTGTTTTTCATTAAGCACCATTGACTATCAGATCGGCGGATAATTCGTGCCTTCCAGCTTTATTTTCAGCAATACACGTGTATGTTCCTGCATGAGCAGCTTGGACAGATGCTATACTTAGTATAGCACCCCTTCCTCCTAGATCCAATACAGCTATCCCCGAATGAGGTGAAATTGCATGTCTGTTCAATGTCCATCGTAGTTTCAATGGAGCATCTCCTTCGATTACAGCACAAGGTACTGTTACTACTTGACCTGAGTTAAGTGGTTCCTCGCCGAATGAGAATGGCAACAGTTTTGGAATGACTGTAATTTAAAAAAAGTCGAGACAAAAAGAAAGGCATTCTCTTTGTGTTCCCGTCGTTTTTCGCAATTCCATTGGAGCTCCTAATTAATCATTATCCTCTTTATGAAATGAATAACATACTGAATTGTTCAGTAATCCGTGTCATGTGAAAGTCGGCTAATTTTCTGCTATTTTCGCGTACCCTATATCCCAAAACTATTTCGTATTATCTATTGGAGGTGAAGATGTTTTTTTAATTTTTCAAAGATTTCATTTTTCCTTACAAATTATTAAATAGCTTATAGCTTTCCAACTTAATATTTTTTGAGTAATCAAGTTTAAACTAACCTTCCAAAAACTTGAATTGTTATCCACAAAATACCCTATTATATTTCTCGTATTGTATAATTGTATTTTGTGTGGGCATCAAGCGAATGGCATTAATCTAGATAAATAAAAATAAATGAAAAAAAAAACTGAATGAATAAATAGGCTACTCACATGAAAGTTGATGTGAATGCTAGCCTTTGCTATTTTCTTAACAAATATTGGAATTGACTTGACGAGGATACAGAATACGAACATACATGTCGGGACAATGTCCTCTGATTTTTATTTTAAGAAACATTTTGAAAACAACGTTGTCTGTTTTTAATCCAAAAACGAAGGTGCGAAGATATTGCCTTGAATCGACGGACATATTTTGGATACACGATACGAATTTTATTAGTATATTACTAGAATGACGATTCAATTGATGATTATGATGATGTAAATAATTCCATTGAAACAGTCAATCATTTTGTAATAATGCAAAGAACTCTATGAAGCGATATGTTGATTTTGTCGCTATAATGAAGAATTTTTCCAATCGAACTTCCATGTCGTCAAAGATTATGATATTTTATCTTTCCTATTTCATCCCAGGATATTTCATCTCAACCATTTCATCTTGGGATATTTCGTCTTAAAATTTTTCAGTTCGAGATACTTCATCCGATCCCAAGGAGGGATACGACAAAATTAATCGAATCTCCCACACATGTCCCATCATCATGAATGATGGGACGTGTGTGGATCCTTTCAAGTGTTAGCCTATTTCATTCATATTTGCTCCTATTGGATTTTTCTGCTGACGTGAAGCAAGAACCATTTTAAGCGACTGAAAATCTGGTAATAATTACCGAATTTAAGTGGATTCAATACACATTCAAATGACGACGATATGCGATGAGCAATCGTTTGATATTGGTGATGAACTATCTTCGGATGAAATGGTCCGAGGATGAACTGTCCTGTCACCGTCGTCAATTACACCCGCCGCTAAACGACTAGTGCTTCCAGTTCTATTGCTATAGCGGTGCTCTCTCCGTCTAACTGCGCCCCACTTCGTACACGCTGCTACTCCCACCCTGACTACGCTGGGCTCCACGCAATTGGGGTATTGTATTTCTAATAATGGGTCTAATAGGGTTTTATGGCCCCGGCTCCCGAGGGTCCGACTTTGCCCATGCCTGCTATAGCCTCACAAGTGTACTCGCCATCTTAGTGACGCCATCAATTATCAACAAAGAAATCATTTTTCTACTATTACAAGTCCGAAGATCTCCATTGATGATTTATTGCAGTAGTATTTCAATTTTAAAGCTTTTCGATTGGTTGATTACCGTTTCAAACAAATAATAAATACAGGTTTTCACACTGATAAACGGGTTAGATTCTGTCAACTGGACGTATTCCCTTGCGCATTTTATTTCCATTCATTGTTTGGTATTGGGCTTTCAGAAATGAAACCTCCAAAATAATATGTCCTTCAACCGTTAGCCTATTTTATTCATATTTGCTTCTATTGGATTTTTCTGTTGACGCGAAGCGAGAACCGTTCTAAGCAACTGAAAATCTGGTAATAATTACCCAATTGAAGTGGATTCAACGCGCCATCTAGTTAAAATACCTGCTGACTAACTGACTATTACATAATCATCTAGTTGACACAACCTAAACTTTTCAGTTGAAGCGTTCTGTAACTTTCATCGCTCAATTCAATTCACCGTATTCAGCTGCGCCATTAGATAAAAATTCCCAAGCCGGTGTAATATTAACGAAATTCTTTTATCAGAGAGTCTTCTGAGGGCAACCGATAAACAAAAGACTTGATGGACAGGAATCAGTAATAAATCAATGAGTAATAGGATTGGATATTGTTGCGGACAGTGAGGAATACATGGCGTGCTGAAGATGAAACTTTAAATTTCCGGAAATACAAGAGTACCATTAACAGCAAGTTTAGCTGTATAGCTCGTTGCGCCGGCTCTGTTTGAAGCAGAACAGGTGTACTCGCCGGAATGCTTCGCAGCAACAGCGTCAATGGCCAGAGTACTGTGACGTCTACCACCAGTTATTATTATGTCAGTACGTTGTTGTGTTATTAACTCACTGTTGAACGCCCAACTGATTTCCAGAGGAAAATCCCCTTTCGATATTGAACACATGATCGAAACTGCATCTCCTGAGTTTGAAAGCTCGTCACCGAAGGAAAACGGAAGGATCTGAGGGGCAACTAAACCAACATTTCAGCTCAGATAAGAATAATCATGAAAGAAGATTGATTAATGAACTAACTCATTTATTTTGGGATGCACGTGAACACGAACACCATGTGCTATTGAAAAGAATCTGAAACGTCTCAGTAAATGAGTGGCTTTTTTACCCAAAGCCTGTGTGAACTGATCTACTTGGCCGGATTCCCTGCAGCAACTGATTCAATTGCCAAACTCCTATGATACGTCTACTATTTGTTATCATGATGCCAATAATTTTCGGTATTATTGACGTTTTGATGAATGCCCAATTGATTTCGAGAATCTTTCCGTCTTTCGATATTGGGCGCGTAATCGATACTGATTCGCCCGAATTCGAGGGTTCATTACCGAATGGGACAAAGGAACCTATTCTACATCTGATAATTGGTTCTTATTGCCCGAACTCTTCATGTATTGATGAGTACAGTAAAAAAAAGTGAATCAATTAAACATAACGAGCTATATAAAAAATGTTTTGCTGATAGTTGTTTTTGTTTGGGATTGAGATGGAGGAGCACACGTTATATTGAAGGTAAAACTTGAAATATCTGGGGATGTATTTGTACCATTTACCGCAAGCATAGCGGTATAACTCGTTGCTCCAGCCCGGTTCGAAGCAGTACATGTGTATTCACCAGAATGTGCCGCAGTAACTGAATCAATTGCCAGAGTACTATGACGTTTACCACCAGTTATTATGATGTCTGTACCCTGCTGGGTTATCAACTCGCTGTTGAATGCCCAGTTAATATCCAGAGGGAAATCACCTTTTGATATCGAACATGTGATCGATACCGCGTCACCAGAGTTGGAAGGGTCATCACCGAATGAAAATGGAAGGATCTGCGGTATAACTAAAAATTTGTTTTCAATTGATAAATTTCTTCACGATAATTTGATAGTATTGGAATAGTTCTAGGTGTGTTGATAGGTTCAGATGGAATGGAAGGATGGCGTTAATGGGATTAACATAAAAAAGTGCATTTTTGGTTGAGTGCATTTTGTTATATACACGCAATGAATAAACATAAGAAGTAATCCGACTCCTCTACCATTTACGGTAAGTGTGGTTGAATGACTGATATTGCCAGCGTGATTACTCGCGATGCAAGTATACTCCCCCGCGTGTCTAGCAGCAACCGATTCGATACTGATGGCGCTCATATGTTTATTAATTTTGGTAAGAGAAACATCAGGATAGGTTTGATCGAGATTCTTTCCATTGTGTTGCCAGTAGATTTCCACCGGAAAGTCACCTTTCGTGATCGAACAAGTAGCAGATACCATATCCCCAGAGTTTGCTGGGCCATCACTCATCGAAAATGGACCTATCTGTGGTGGTACTAAAATATCAAACGGCCAGTAAGTTGATGAAATAAAATGAAAGTGAATACTGAAGGATGAGGGTTTGGTTTTTGGGCAGTGAGTGAATGAAATCAATTGGATCACGTCTCACATTACAGCAGGTTAGGAAATATTGTACTGTTGACTGCTTGTGGTGTCGTACACCTTGTATTTACTAGCAACATTACTGGTACTGACTGGACGACTGATGCTCTTCTTTGTACTGACAATCATAACATCTCGATTTTTTATAATATAAGAGAATGCTCAATGTGTTTCCGACCAATCTCAATGAGATGATCACCGGTCAGTACTGTAAAAGTAGCTGCTAAAATGAAGATCGCGGTTTAGGGAGAAATTATACTGAGAAACACTAGCGATCGATCAACATGGATGATTAAAATTCAACAGTTTAACTAAGTCAACGATTTGTTTTGTACCATCAGAGACGAAGCAGAAGTGAAGCGGTCGTGCTACTTTTCTTCCTCACAAAACAGGGCAATTTCTTACAACAAAAAAACAAAATAAATATTGCCAATGATTTCC